AGATGATTTTACTGTAGAAGTTTGTACAAAGTACTGCACTTTACATTATCAACTGAGTTTTACAATTAGGAATCGGGCATTTAGCATGTACATATCCACTCCATTGGAAGATCCCGCCATCACTGCATTTATCGGCTAATTATGTGGACCACACAGTGATCCCGGCTGTTGTTTGAACAGGACCATGCGTAGTGACCATTGCTTCTATCTGACATCTTGTCTTGGATTTCTACAATGTAAAATGTTCATTGTGTATGTACATTTCATGGTTGAATATAGTACGGAATGATAATTGGAGAGAGCGACGCACGTTGCAATGACACCACACCGCACTGATTGCAAAAATATTCCCTGTTTTGCTTGGTTCATTGCATGGAAAATACACCGTACTGTGTATACTATTGTGTACTCCCCGAGAAGCTTGCGTTGACAGGTAAACGTGAAAAAAGCTACGAAAACGAAAAAGATGGCAAATAAAATCTGGCACTGATTTAATCCTAAGCCTCTCTGCAAGGAAAACTACCCTGGTGCAGACAAATTAAGATGTAATCTTAAGCAGTATCAGACAAATGCACATGGCCACCCGAAGGTCGATGGCGGTACCTTCGCTCTTCTGACAAGAACGACAGTCCTCTCTTGGGGTCCAAGGCAAATTTCCATTATAATAATGCAACCTTTTCTCAACACGAGGCACTCTGTGTCAAGACGGACTACTTAATTCTCTGAAAATTATTGTCTGTTACATTACAACTATTGACATAAATAGAAATCTTAACTCACTTTGTGGAATTGAGATGTAACGTTTGAATATTTTTAGTATGAAAAGAAAGGGGTTAATTTTCTTCTGTTTTGATCGCGATTTTATCACCCACTGCTGGACACTCTAATGCATATCACACCTTTTGTTATATACGCTGAATACGCCACTACTTCACAGATACAATAATGTCAACCAAAACTCAACGCTTATCAAGAACTTGATCATTTTGTATTTCTGTTTTTTCTTTATTGATTATGTATATGACAGGAAGATTGAAATGGATGAGAGGCTGCGAAATTAGGTGAAGTTCGACACATTGTGTTGGCTTGAGA